CAACCTAGGAAAGAGTCAAACGAAGAAGATAGAGTCAAACGGACATGAAAGGGCTCAAGCGGAAAATGCAAGAGTCAAACAACCTAGGAAAGAGTCAAACAAAGAAGGAAAGGAATCAAACGAAGGAAGGAGTCCAACGAAGTAGGTCAGACTCGAACGAAGTAGTAAAGACTCAAACGAACTAGGAAAGAGATAAACGAAATAGGAAAGATTCAAATGAAGAAGACAGAGACAAATGGAAAAGGAAGGACTCCAGCGGAAAAGGAAAGAGTCAAACGAAAAAGGACAGGAATCAAACGGAGAAGAAAGAGTCAAACGAGAGGACCAACCAGAACTGTGATGGCAACATGGTGGTGTTACTTTCAGTTTTCATTTGGTGCAGGAGGGTTGCTCCCAAAGGAATAGCATGATGACCTGATAGAGTCCATTCCAACAATTGATCGGCAATCGTGGGTATGTGTTCAAAGCTGAACAAAAACTGCTGGTCTGTGTCCCGTTCCGGTGGCTCATCCGATCGTGTTTTCGATGCGGGTGTGATAAACATATCATGAAGAAACATCCTGCAATTGTTTGGAGAAGACCGAGCAGCGATGGCATGCCCTTTCTGCTCCTGGGGCGGCCTGGGGAGATGCTGGCGCTTGCACTGCGAGCCCTGCTGGGCGCAGCCACAGCGCTCCTTGGGAGTGCAAGGCCGAGTGCACAGCGGTTTCGCAAAAGGGTCACAGCCGTGAGCCCGCAGCGAGAGGATCCTGGAGAGTTGCGAATCACGCACTCATGGCTGCCACCTGCGAGGCTTCTCGCCCATGACATTGCACAGGTCTTCGACACGACGTTTGCTCACTTCGTGGCCCTCGACTGCGTCGTGCCACCGGTGCAGTTGCACGTGGAAGAGGTGACAGCCCTGCCCTTTGCCACCTTTGTGCTGGCGCTGGGTCGCCAGTTGCGCGATCTAGCCAAATGCGCAGTGCGGGATGGTCCATGTGCGCACTGCCATGGTGGTCTACACCACACCGAAAGGGGCTCTGTGCACACGCCCTTTGGATCACCTTCCTTCTTCCTTTTACAAACACCACCTGGTCTGGTTGGCTCGCCGTGCAGAAATCGCAGAGACACTGCGGATGGGCGTCAAAGTCCACTTTCTGCAAGGATCCTTCGGACTGGTCTTGTCCTCCTCTGCAGACAACAGTAAGTTCGAAATAGAACCAACCATGCCGGTGAATGAGGAGATGGTGCAGGTCGTGTTCGACAGTGCGCAGAGGTGCCGCTGGACATGGCGCGGTCTGTTGCGCGCTCACAATGGGTCGACCATGAGGCAACAGCTGCTGGCGCAGGACAGTTTCTACTTCAGCGACGAAACGATGTCGTCAACTTAGGCTTGTGAGTTTCTGTGATCTTTTCGCAGGACGAACAAGGATCAGCATCTCCTGCCGATTGTCTTCCAAGCAGTGCGACGGCTCCCGTCGGGACCGCAGCCCAGGCCAGTCATACAAAGGTCATTTTTCACACCCACGCAAGGCTAGAGCAGCGAAATTCATTGGTAGTAACAGCTTTCCGTGTCACACGGCGTGCGCAAACCGCGCGCCAAGAAAAACAATTACACCACTCACTCCTACATTTTCGCAACACGGACAGGAAGAAGATGCGCTGATCGACTGCCTATATCAGGCCTTCACACAGGATTTTGCCGAACAGCTGCCGGACCATGGCTTCCGTTGCGCCTACCACATCTCAGCAGGTCCAGGTTGTGGAAAATCTTCGCTAGCGATTCGGGTGCTGCGGCAATTGTGCCTTGGCTGATCATCAGAGATGGAGTCCAAGAAGATTAAATTGCTGTTGGACAACACGAAAGGCAGATTTAATGCAGTTGCGCACTCCCAAGTGTTTTGCTTCTATTTGCACTTGGCCTTCTGTCCATCATTGTGCGCATGTACATGACTACCCGCTTGTTATTCATGGTCTTGATTGCTTGCGGTCATACGGTACATCCATCCGTCCGCAAAGGAGTTCCTGGCACGGCGCATGCCGATACCTCCTCGCAACACCTACCAAAGTACTGCGAGATGAGTTAGCCGCAAAGATCGGCCAAGCAGGTCTTCAAAGAGGTCAGGACAAAGACCACTGTGACCTCCTCTATGCGCAAACGACCGAGATGCTGGAGGAGCAGCACCCAGACCTTCTGCGTAACATCGAAGACCTGGAAGCCACGCTGGAGACAAGGAGCCTGAATGAGTTGCCTACATTATATTACCATCGGTACCGGTTCTGTGTCCGCATTCCTTGTTCATCGGATCGTGCCACATCCATGTGCGAAGCCGTATTGTTCGATCAAATTCCAAAGTGTTGCCCTATCGTACGGAAGAACACTACTCGCCAGGATGTCGCTGCAGTCATGGCTTCACACGCTGGCCTCGCATCACCGAGCGTGCTTCCAATTGTACTCCCAGACTCCCTGCTGCTTCGATGATCGGAAGACCTTGGTTTGCGCACATGCGTATACTCCTGAAGCACGCAGCCAAAGAAAGGACGCTGTAAACAATCACAAATATTCTTTAAAAGCCAAACAACCTGGTCCATGCAAAAAACCTACATTCCATTTTCAATTATTGACATCTTATGTTTTATTTATGATTTATTTATGAAAACTTTACGAAACGCATTTATGAAAAACAATGTTTGGCTTTTACCTTGAAAAAATTACGAAACTATTTTATAGTTTCTTGATGTGCTCAACAAATCTTAAAAGTTTCATTAAAAAAATCCTAAAATATTCATAAAATTTTCATAAAATTTGTAATAAGTTTATTGTTTTTTACGAATCTCGACATCGTAAAAATATAAAAAAAGAAAATGTTATGATTTTTTGAAAATTTTACGAATATTTTATGATTGTTTTTTAATGAAAATTTTATGAATTTTGTCGAATTTCGGATTTGGTGGAAATCCATAAAACAATAAAATAATTCATAAAAAATCATAAACAACTATCATTAAAAACATCAAAAATGAAATCTCCAAAAATTGAGGACCAATTAGTTTTCATAAAATTTTCACAAAAAAAGTCAAAAAGAATCAGCTAAACAAGCCTCTGGCTGTCTTCCTGACTCTCAAATCTAGTGTGTCTTTTGTTGATTTGTCATGTGCTCCTGGAACATCATCAACCTTGGTCACGCAGGGAACAAGTGTGCCGCAAGAAATGCTGCACAAAGTCCCAACTCGCTGACACCCTTGAAGACCAGGAGATCTGCCGCTTTTAAGTGTTGGGTAAGTTGATCGCCCTCCCCAAAGACAAACGCTAGTGAAACATGCTCATTTGGATGCTTGCACTCCTAAAAAGACCCTGAACTAGGCAAAAATTATTTGATTCCCCAGATAGCGAAGCTATGGGGTTCTTACTTCAAATAACAATGAGTTGCCCGTGCGCACTTTCGAGACAGGTTGCTGGTGCTGGGTGCTGGTGCTGGTGCTGTGAGCTGGCTGTGCATGTGGTGGAGACTGCTGTGAGCTGGCTGTGCACGTGGTGGAGACAGGTTGCTGGTGCTGGTGCCGGGTGCCGGTGCTGGTGCTGTGAGCTGGCTGTGCATTTTGTGGAGGCAGGTTGCTGGTGCCGGGTGCCGGTGCTGGTGCTGTGAGCTGGGTGTGCACGTGGTGGAGACAGGTTGCTGGTGCTGGGTGCCGGGCGCCGGGGCTGGTGCTGTGAGCTGGCTGCCGGTGCTGGGTGCTGGCTGTGCGCGTAATGGAGACAAGTGCTTTGCTGGGTGCCGGTGCCGGTGCTCTTGTTGCCAGGGTGCTGGTGCCGGGCGCTGGTCCTTGCTGTGCACGTGGTGGAAACTGGGTGCCGGTGCTGGGTGTTGTGTGTGTGTGTGTGTGGTGGAGATTGGGTGCCGGTGCCGGGTGCTGGTGCTGGCTGCGCGTGTAGTGGAAGCAGGGTCGGTGCTGGGTGCTGGTGCTGGCTGTGCGCGTGGCGGGGACAGCGCCGGTGCCGGGTGCTGGTGCTGGCTGTTTGCGTATGCTGGGGACAGGGTGCCGGTGCTGGGTGCCGGCGCCGGGTGCGCGTGGTGGAGACAGGGTGCCGGTGCCGGGTGCTGGCTGTGGGCGTGGTGGTGCTGGGTGCTGGTGCTGGCTTTGTGCGTGGCAGACACAAGGTGCCGGTGCTGGGTGCCGGCAGGCCAACATGGTTGCGCACGCTCTCATTCCAAAGCTGTGGATGTGGTTGTTGGAGTTTTGCGACCAACCATATGCGTTAGTGTGTGAAGATGATTTTTCTTTAAAGTTTGACAGAGTGTTGTTTTGGAAACGGATGTCGAAGGTATGCCGCTAATTGAAAATGTCATGTCGGCTGGGAAACCAGTGCTGTTGGTGCTGGGTAGGCTTCAAGTCACGAAAGGTAGCCCTTTAGGGGATACCTTGAGTTTGTCTTGCGAAGCAAGTGTTGGGACGTCCGGGTCTAATAATTGATCGCTCAATTCAGACCCCCC